AGGGGGAGGGGGTTAACCGTATACAGATAGTCCTCTCATTGTTTTGGAGTGTAATGGCAAGAAACGAATTGAGCCTTCGATTTTTCTACCTCGACCTATCATGACGTCATCCTCGTGACGTAAGAGACGGAATTCACCGAAAACGTCCCGTCTGTATAGTTACCAAGGCATTAAATGCGTGTCAGTCTATGGTCGGCCATCGCCAATTTTGAATCGTCGTTGTGAAATCTATAAATAGTTCATCTCTTCACCATTTCAAACTTTTACTTTCAAATTTCCAATCTCCAAAGCTTTTTACATCTTCTAAGTTCTTCATCTGCAAATCTACGATTTTTACTGCTAACCTCTTCTTATAACACCAAATCTTATCATCTCCATTTTTTTAAACTTCAAATCCAAATGGCAAAAATGTCAAAAACTGTTCCTCAAAAGGAAAACGCTTCTTCATCGCGGCCGGCGGTGAAAAAAAACCGATGGAGCCGCGCCCTGAGGAGTGTATTCCCGGGGGGTGCGTTCTCACTTTTGACTTTAAAATTGATAAAGCCTCATTGATTCCTGGTCGATGCGAGCCAGTGTCGAGGTATATATGCTTGATAGCCGAGGGATACCTTAAGAAGGTAAAGAAAGACTGCAACTGGGAGGGCAAAGAGGTGGTGATCCCGACCCCCGAAGGGGACATCACCACCCATGTGGAAGGGTTTCTAAGTGTTTACACTTACCCTTTCATGCTGGGCCCCCTCAACCCCGTCGTCGTTGATTTTTGCCGTCAATACCAAATAACCCTAGGCCAAGTCCATCATTCATTTTGGTGAATTGTTATTCTGCTCCGATTCTTCGTGAGCAAAGTCGAAGGGATGCCTTTCACCCTCGACCACCTCATCAGGTTGTACATCCCCCGCCTCTATCGAGGTGGGTTAATAAAACTCCAATGCCGGGCTACCAAAGTATTGTTCTCAAGCATAGACGAGGACAAGGACCGATGCTGGATGGGTTGGTTCGTTCGGGTGAGGACTTTCAACCTAATCCCGGCCGAGAAGATACCATTTCCCAAGAAGTGGAATATGAAGCGTAAGTACAATCCCACTGTTATCTCCTATTTATTATTTTGCTTCTTTGCTTCTTCTCATCGATATCCTTTTTCGTGATGTAGAGGTCTCTTGGATGCCCGGTGTAATTCCTAACCTCAAGAGCTGGGTTCGGGACCTGGCCTCGACCTCTACGTATGCCGAGCGCTCATGAAGTGACTTATCAAAGGACCGATGGGAGGCCAAAACTCATGGTAAGCCCCTTTTCCACGTCTTTGGTGATTTTGTTAAAGCGTTTCTTACTTAATTTCTTATCATACAAGCCTTGTCAAAGATGCTGTCATGAGGCCCTTATCTGGTGAGGAGGAGACTTCGATTCCGGCACCAAAATTGGCGAAGGACAAAAAGAGGAAAAAGATCTCAACCTCCGAGGATCCAGAACCTAAGAAGAAGGCTCGTAAGCCGAGGAAGAACATCATCCTCCTGACCAAAGACTCTGTTCGGTGACTAATGGATGAAGACGAAGAAGAGGAAGAAGATGACTCCGGGCTGGTGGCCTGAGTGGGAATGAGCACCGAGGCCCCAAAAGCCACTGAATCGGTGAAGACTGCAGACTCCATCTCGAGATGAGGGGGTCTCGGAAAGAGACTTGGGTGAAGTCCCCGATTCATCGAGGATTGAAGATGTCTCCCACCATAATGAGCCAACAGTGGGTACGACTGTGGGGGCTAGTCTTGAGGCTCCTCGAGATGGAGAGAACGCCCCAAGTGATCCACTTGGGGCAATAGAAATTGGAGGCTCCCCGTTGCTCCCCTCGTTTTTCGAGGAGTTGATTTAAGAGGCTCGGGCCTTGAAGACCCTCTCCATCGAAGGAGCCCATGGAAGGGAAGATCCCTTCTGCGATTACTTACTGGGTAGAAGGTGCTACCGGCCTGAGCGATTTGAAGGTCTCGAGGAAGGACTCGGGCGGTCTCGAGGAAGGACTCGGGCGAGGCATCAAGCTCTGAATCGGGTAAGCCTTAACTCCCTTTGTGTTCATTTTTCTCTTCCTGTCTAACTTCTTTTCTTCTTTCTGCGTTGGCCTCAACGCTTCATCGGGAAATATTTTCTCGATCTCGAGCTGAGCTG